ACACAAATGGACCGATTGTTGGTCCAAGGAACCTACTGTTGTCCGAGTGGCAGCAGTGAGAGTACAAAAGCGGAAAAGAGGGAATGGCAAGTCCAACTCTCAGAAGAAGGCTAAAGTGGCTGCTGTAGTAGCAGAAGATCCACTTGTTGTACTCCCGGAGGTTACAGAAGATTTTGTTTTGCAGCCTGAGCAAGACTCGGACAATGAAATCCTCTGGTAGAAAAGTGTCTGTTTTGGGTCTATGTTTACTAGTTTTCTTTTATATGGGGTTTCCGGTTTCTATGTTTCTCTTGAATAAAAATTATGATTGTGTTTCCGCCTATTTGATTGCTCCAAGCACTCTGAGGATGGGTTTAAGACCCGAAACAGCTGGTCTGTCAGTGCTCTACCAAAGTTACATTTGCTACCAAGACACTTTCAAACCGCTACTAAGAATTACTACACATCATACCAGCTATATAATCGCTTGGGAATAGAACCAAAAGATCTTTTGATCTTAGTAGTGCCCAGAGCTATTAGCCATGTTGAAAAGACAGAGAGAAACAAGTTCAGAACCCGCTGTTAAGAAAAGAAGGTTGGAACAGAGGCTTCCCTCCTTACCAGTACATGGAAAAAGACCTATACTGAAGGCAGGACTGTCATGGACAGTCAAAGGAAAGGATGAAGGCGCCCAAGGGTCCTTCCTGTTTGACACCGGTTGTACAGGAGCTATCCTCAACCAGAGTTTTGTCAGGAAACATGGAATTCCCTTAGTGCGGCGGGATCAACCTCTGACAATGTTTGATGCTCAAGGAGATGTCATGATGGGAGGAGGCGAGTATTACACTCACCCGGTCCGCATGACTATGGGAGATCATAAAGAGACACTCCGATGGGAAATGGCTACTTTGGAAGAAGGAATGGCCGGTTACCTGCCAATTAGTTGGGCTAGGAAGCATAACCCGGACATCAATTGGGAACTCAACACCATGAGCTGGAGGAGTGACTACTGCAAGCAGAATTGTCTCCCAGCGGCCACCAAAATTGAACTAATCTCTCCATACCAAATGTTGGAAGAAGAAGAGACAGTCTATCAATTGGTTGGTTCAGTATGGCATGATGAGGACGGAGGTGATATTGCTGAGAAAATACACCACCTATACCGGGATTGGGCTGATGTGTTCAGTCAAGAGAAGATTGAGGAAATGCCGCCGCATTCCCATAATGATTTGAAGATCAAACTCTTGCCTGGCACCGCTCCCCCATTTGGCCCGCTGTACCCATGTTCCGCTCCAGAGTTGAAGGCCCTCCGAGAGTACCTGGACAAGGAGTTGTTTTCAGGAAAGATCTCTAGATCTAACAGCCCTGCTGCGGCGCCCATACTGTTCATTCCTAAGAAGGATGGGACATTGCGGATTTGTGTGGACTACAGAGGATTGAACAAGGTCACCGTCAAGGACAAGTACCCGCTGCCTATCATGAGTGAGCTCAGAGACAGGTTGTTCAAGGCCAAGATCTTCACAAAGATAGACCTGAAGAACGGCTTCAATTTGATCAGGATAGCAGAAGGTGATGAGTGGAAAACCGCTTTCAGAACCCGCTATGGACTGTATCAGTATAATGTGATGCCATTTGGTCTATGCAATGCTCCCTCTGCCTTCCAGGCAATGATCAATGATGTGCTAAAGGAACTACTGGATGAAGGAGTGGTTGTCTACATCGACGACATCCTCATCTACTCGGAGACTGAGAAAGAGCATGAGCTATTGGTCAAGAAGGTACTACAGAAGCTTAGGGAAGCTAAGCTCTGTGCCTCGATCAGTAAGACATCCTTCCATGTCCGAGAAGTAGAATACCTAGGCTATCATATCTCGGAGGAAGGAGTATCTATGTCAGAAGACAAGGTGGAAGCAGTTAAGGAATGGCCGGTCCCTGAGAATATCAAGGCAGTACAGGCATTCCTCGGATTTGCAAACTTCTATCGCCGCTTTATTGAAGGCTTCAGTAAAGTTTGCAAACCATTAACTGATCTCCTGCAAAAAGACAAGAAATGGTATTGGACGGCAGCACATGAGCAGGCCTTTGAAGAACTCAAGGGGCTGTTCACAAGCGCTCCAATCCTCCTTCACTTTGACCCTAGTAGGAGAACGGTGGTCGAGACAGATGCCAGTGATTTTGCAAAAGGAGCAGTGCTCTCTCAGTATGGGGACGATGGAAAGCTACATCCGGTGGCATTCTATTCTAAGAAGTTCTCCCCTGCTGAGATCAACTATGACATTCATGATAAGGAAATGGGAGCTATTGTAGCCTCTTTCCGGGAATGGGAACACATGCTTAAATCTTGTGAGCAGGAAATCACGGTTTTTACAGACCACAAGAACTTGGAGTACTTTAATTCTACCAAGGTTCTCACTAGGCGGCAAGCTAGATGGTCTGAAGACCTCGCAGGCTACAATTTCAAAGTTGTCTACAGACCGGGGGAAAAGAATGGCAAGACTGATGTGCTATCTAGGCGCTGGGATCACCGCCTTGGAGAGGGAGGTGAAACTCTGCAGCCGGAGCCACAGATCTTTTTTAGGCCAGGTCAATTGGTTTTGGATCCTGCAAAGCTAGCGGCTGTCAGGGTGAATCAATTGCAGAATACATTCTTGGAGCGTCTATATGCGGCTGCTAAAGAGGATAGTTTCTGGCAAGAATTGCACCGCTCCCTGGTTGAAAGGAAACCAAATTTGGACCAGAACTTGTCGGTCAAGAACGGTCTCATCTTCTACAAAAATAGATGGTACATACCCAAAGCCAAGAAGCTTCAGATGGAAATACTGTCCGATACCCATGACTCTAAGGTGGCTGGTCACTTTGGCCAATTTAAGACACTTGAGCGGGTGAAAAACAACTTCTTTTGGCCCAACATGGATAAGGATGTTGAGGAATATGTCCGGAGCTGTGACAGCTGCCAGCGGAATAAGACCTCAAGACACAAGAAGTTTGGTATGCTCCAACCGTTGGAGATACCCTATCGGCCATGGACTTCCATCTCTATGGACTTCATTGTGGGATTACCGGAATCTAGTGGGTTTACAAAGATCTGGGTAATAGTGGACCGTTTTTCGAAGATGGCACATTACATCCCTCTTCCTACCCTCAATAAAACGGAAGATTTGGCTAAGTTGTTCTTGAAGGAAGTTTGGAGACTCCATGGTTTACCTGATGACATAGTCTCGGACAGAGATAGCAGGTTCATCTCTTACTTTTGGCAATCTCTCATGAGCCTCCTCAATGTGAAGCTGAAGATGTCCACTTCTTTCCACCCCCAAACGGACGGTCAAACAGAAAGAGTTAACCAGACCCTGGAACATTACTTGCGGAGTTATTGTTCATATCAACAGGATGACTGGGCAGAACTCTTGCCTCTGGCAGAGTATGCTTATAACTCGGCGGTCTCTGAGTCTACCAAAGTATCGGCTTTTTATGCCAACTATGGATATGAACCCAGGACCAACTGGCCGGACCCAAAGGAAGGAGTAGAATGGAACAATCCAGCAAGCGAGGTCATGATATCTCAATGGGAATCTATCTGGCAGGCTATGAACGCCAGCTTGGGTAAAGCTAGATTAAGGATGGCCCGGTGGTATGATGCTCATGCCCTGGCACCCCCTGAAATCAAGCCCGGAGATGAAGTTATGTTGGACCGGCGCAATGTGCAAACAAAGCGGCCTTTGGGAAAACTGGATCAGAAGAAGATGGGACCCTTTAAGGTCTTAGAAGCTATTGGTACTCGTGCCTACAAGCTCTCTCTTCCCCCCCAGATGGGAATCCACCCGGTCTTTCATGTCTCTCTCCTAGAATCCTACAGAGCACCGGTAGATCCTGAGAGAAGAGTTCCCCCACCGGAACCCGAAGAGGTTGAGGGAGAACAGAACTGGGTTGTCCGAGAGGTAGCTGATAGCCAGGTCAATAAGAAGAGAAGACGAGTGGAATATCTAGTGCTGTGGGAAGGTTATGAGAACGAGGATGCTACATGGGAACCTTGGGAGCATCTCAAGAAGAGTGCTGAAGAAGCCCTTCGGGATTTCCATATGAGGTATCCTAAGAAACCCAAGGACAAGCGGATTGTTGGGGTGTAGATTATTTCCTTTGGGTTTTCATTTCCTTGCATATCACGGAGTTTCTTGTCATATAGAATGGATGGTAATTAGAATAGATATAGATCTCGGAGACCAAGATCCTGGAAGAGGGGAGTGGTGTAACGGAGCCATTTCAACTGTCTGGTGTATGAGTACACACAGGGCCCGGTTACATGCTGAGAGTTATTGTTAGAAGCCAGTTGCACGGTGATATGCAAGTACCGGCAGTGTGGTTAGCTACCAGCTGTTAGAGTAACTACATTCCGGGCGCTAGGAAGCGGATCTATTCATGGGAGCAATGACTGACGAGTCTATGCCTCGCCAATGACTAGAAGACCGGCCAGAGTAAAGCTCTGATTGACCGGTGATCCTCTGTATCCTCTAAGCATTGTAAAGTCCGCCGAAAGGCAGGAACTCTGCTAGGGAAGTCTACAATAAGCGCAAGTCTACAGCAATGATTAAGCTTACACCTGAGCGGCAGCTCATTCATGCAGGTCCTCGGTTGTGTGGCAACCTAGGCTGCAGGTGTTACAAAGGCTTTGACTAAGGGTGGTTGCCTTGGGTATCGGAAACACCTGCTGACGCTTAGAGAAAAGCGGGGTAGCGGTGGTATTGTTTCCGGTACTGAGGGAAGGCCCACCGGAACTTAGTAAGGAGTTAGGAGCAGAGAATAGAGGCCTTCGGAGTATAAGTACTCAGGTTCATTCTCGCCCTTCAGTCCTGTTCTCTCCAGTCTTCATGAGAAAGAAAAACCAAGTTATTATCGGTAGCAGAGCCCTTAAAGATTATTGAGTTCTAGCGATAGTATCTTAGAATAATCTGCAACCTGATTGTCTATCTTGCACGGCCGTCTTTATTCTATACAAACCTATTTCCCTTAGAAAGGACCCCCGTTACATGAGAGAAGAGCGGGAGCAGGAGAAAGGGGAGCAACGAGCTTGGTTTGCGCAATTCAAGCGGTCCGATGAGGAAAGAAACCAACGGATAGCCGAGATGGAGGAACTACTGCGACAACACCTGTCAGTGGCACCTTCCGTGGCCAGTGCTCCTTTAGACCCTAATGCACCCCGAACGGTTCCTGTTGGCAACGGCAAGAACCCCCAAAATGCCGGCCCTCAAACATCAGGGAACGGCAAGCAACCAGAAGAAGCTGGTCCAGTTGGAGGCAACGGAGGCAAAAAACCGGAGGACGCCGGCCCAGTACAGGGAAACAGTGGCAGGCGACCGGTGGGAGCTGCTCCGGTAGGAGGGAATGGTGGAAATCTACCTCCCCGAAATCCACCAAGAGGAAACGTTGGGGGAGATCCAGAACCTTCCGACGACGATGACGACGATAACAGTGAATGGTCACACGGTCGGAAGAATTGGAGAATGAACCGAGGCGGGAACCGGAATTCGGCGCCGCCTGAAGACGACGATATGGTAGATTCGCTCGCCAAAATACCCTTTGAGTTCGATAATGCCAGAAAGCATAATCTGCGGCATTGGCTCATGGAGTGCGAGATCTACTTCGAGCAGAAGCCCAAGAAGTTCCGAACGGACAGAAACAAGGTACTGTTCGCTGGGACGTATACGTGTGGGTTGGCAAAGGAATGGTTTATGGAATATATCGAGACCAAGATGCTTGGACCGGCAGCCGCGGACTACGCTACTTGGACTCGGTTCCGTCAGGAGATTAGGAAACGTTTTCTAAGCACTCAAGAGGCTATGGAGAACGCGATGAAGATGCAGCAGTTTAAGTACTCTGCCAACATCGGAGACTACCTGACGAGAATGGAGATCATGAACCAGCATGCTCAGATGAAAGGAGCATCCTATCGCGCCGCCCTGCTCCAAGGGCTACCAAATGAAATCCGGGAGCGCCACTCACGCTTCGATCCAACCGATGACGACTCCGAGTACATCCAACAGTTGGAACGAGCCGGCAAGGCTCATGAGGCTTATCAAGAGCAGATGAAAATGTTGGGGAAAGCGGAGTCGAGAGGAAGGGAGACGAATAATGGTGGAAACTCGCGGCAAAAGGAGAAGGGGTTTAAGATCAAGGGGAGGGCTCAGACTGAGGAGAAAGAAAAAGGGCAAGATAAGAAGAGCACCAGCAAGAACAAGTCGGGAACAAGCCAATATACCACGACTACGACGAAGCCACCAAAGGAGTTCCACAGCCGGTCCGAGAACAGCGAAAGACCGATGGAGCCTGTGTGCGGTGTGGCCGAAAGGGTCATCTTTGGAAGTGGTGTCGTTCAGATGCTAACAGCAGTGCATCTATCTCCTCTTTCTCCCGAAAGCGTACCCGCGATGACGATGGCGACCACGATATGGAACCACCGGAACCCCAATCTCAGAGAAAGCGAATGAGGCACCGTGCTAAGAAGCCGGCTGCGACGGCTGCTGCAGAGTACACCAGTGGGCAAGCGTTTGTGCGAGAACGCGGATCGGAATCTGAGATGGATTTCGATGAGGATTTTTAAAAGGGGACTCTGATGAGTCAGGTCAGGAGTATCCCCAGATTGCTATGTTATCACTGACGGAAAACAACAAAAAAAATATGAAAAGAAAAAGGCAGGAAGGGAGAGCGTCCCAACCGGAGAAAAAACAGAAAATTTTGGAGGAACCTATTCATGGTCCTCGACCTATCGTTAATCAGTTCCTTTGTTTTGCGGAAAAATGTTTATCTTGTAAGGTGTTGTTGGATACTGGTGTGACTGGTCCTGTTTTGTCTGCTGTTTTTGTTGATAGTTTTGAGGTCCCGAAGGTGAAACGAGACGTCCCGGCCCGGGTATTTGGATTTACGGGAGAAGTTATGAAGGGCACGGGACACGCCTTTACACAACCATTAATTATAATGTCAAGGGGGCATCAAACGCAACTATCATTCGAGATCGCCCCTCTCCCGCCTGGCATCGATGCGATACTACCAAACTGGTGGTTGAAAGAACACAAGCCGGTTATAGGGACAAATGGGGAAGTTTCCTACGATGGCGAGAACTGCAAGAGTCGATGCTTCACTGACAAGGAACCTCAAATAGAAATGGACGAGGGTCTACTGGACGATCCGGAGGCCCAATTCATCGGTAGCATTTGTCTATTGGAAGATGAATCGGTCAACCTTCGCGAAACCCTCCCCCCTTGGTTCCATGGGTTCCTTAAAGTCTTCCTACCATCGGAAGCAGACAAATTACCACCGCATCGATCCTACGACCATGCGATAGATCTTGAACCAGGGAAGCAGCCACCATGGGGACCCGTTTACTCCCTATCCGAAGTCGAGCTGAAGGTGCTTCGGGAGTACCTGGACAAAATGTTGCGATTGGGAAAGATTAGGCCGAGCAAATCCCCGGCAGGAGCCCCAATCCTATTTGTGAAGAAGAAGGACGGTAGTCTACGACTTTGCGTTGACTACCGTGGACTTAACCGCGTGTCCATCAAGAACAGGTATCCGTTACCACTTATGGACGAACTACGAGATCGAGTGGCAGGCGCGGTTATCTTCTCGAAGATTGACCTGAAGGAAGGTTACAACCTCATCAGGATCAAAGACGGCGACGAGTGGAAGACAGCATTCCGTACGCGGTACGGGCATTTTGAGTACCTCGTCATGCCTTTTGGGCTGGCAAATGCGCCGGCGACCTTCCAGAACATGATGAATGACGCGCTAAGGGAATTCTTGGATCAAGGTGTAGTAGTATACCTTGATGACATCCTAATATATAGCAAGTCTCGAGAAGAGCACAGAGAGTTGGTCGGCAAAGTCCTTAGTAGGCTACAAGAATACAATCTAGTCGCCAACCCGAAGAAATCGTTCTTCGAGCTCACCGAAATCGAGTTCCTTGGATACATCCTTGCCCCAGCAGGCGTCACCATGGCACTGGATAAGGTCATGTCTGTTACGAATTGGCAAGCCCCGCGCAGCGTTAAGGAAGTACAGATCTTCATGGGCTTTGCCAACTTCTACAGAAGGTTTATCCACAATTTCTCCGGGGTCTGTAAACCCATTACCGATTGTCTCAGGGGTGATGCTAAGAACTTTGTCTGGTCTATGATGGCCCAAGCAGCCTTCGAAAAACTCAAAACCCTGTTTACGTCTGCGCCGATCTTGGTACACTTCTCTCCAGATCGCCAAACTATCGTGGAAACGGACGCAAGTGATTTTGCTATTGCCGCAATTCTATCCCAGGTTATTGACGGAAAGACTCACCCTGTTGCCTTTTATTCTCGGAAGCTTAACCCAGCGGAACTCAACTACGACGTCTGGGATAAGGAGATGCTAGGAATTGTGTCGGCATTTAAGCAATGGCGTCACTACCTCGAAGGACCTAGCCGAACGGTCCTCGTCTACACGGATCACAAGAACTTGGAATATTTCTCAACGACCAAGGTTCTTAACCGACGACAGGCAAGGTGGGCTGAGTCTTTGGCGGAATTTGACTTTAAGATTATTTACCGCCCGGGAACCAAGAATGGGAAGGCAGATGCATTATCGCGACGGCCGGAGTACCGTCCTGAAGGGGGAGGCACGCTTGGGAAACAGCCGATAGACAGGTTCTTTAAGCCCGGACAGTTGGCGGAGGAAGAGTTTGTGGTATCAGCGGTGTCGCTTGCCTCCAAGGGGGTGATTGACTGGTCTAAGAATTTTCTGGATCATGTCAGGCAGGCGGCATCGGGAGACCCGATATGGGTAGGATTGAAAGAGAGAGTTGAGCAAGGGGAGAAGCTGGGGGAATTGAAGGATATCACTGAGAAAGACGGACTACTCTTCTATAAGAACCGACTCTACATTCCGGCAGACGATCGTATCAAGATCCGAATTGCACAGTCAGAACACGATTCGAAGGTGGCAGGACACTTTGGACAAGATAAAACTTTGGAACTCATCACGCGCAACTTCTATTGGCCAAAAATGAACGAGTGGATTGACGATTACGTTCGGTCATGTGACGAGTGCCAGCGTAACAAACCCAGCCGCCATAAGAAATACGGTGCGCTTCTACCACTGTCCACGCCTCATTCTGTCTGGCAATCGATATCAATGGACTTCGTCGTGCAGTTACCGGAATCAAAGGGATACAACCAAATCTGGGTAGTAGTCGATAGGTTCTCGAAGATGTCGCACTTCATCCCCCTAGTAGCAGAAACGACCGCGCAGGATTTAGCGAAGATATTCCTTGGTCAAATCTGGCGACTCCATGGACTGCCTCTTGATATAGTTTGCGATAGGGACGCCAAATTTACTTCAAGCTTTTGGGCATCCCTTATGGAATTATTGGACGTGAGGATAAGAATGAGTACGGCTTTCCACCCTCAGACCGATGGGCAAACAGAACGGGTCAACCAAACCCTCGAGCACTACCTACGAGCGTTCTGCAATTACGAACAAGATGATTGGGCAGAGCTACTCCCGTTGGCGGAGTATGCTTACAACAACTCGGTTACCACCGCCACGGGCCAATCTCCGTTCTATACCAATTACGGTTACAACCCAAGGACCAACTGGCCGACGGAAGCCGAAGTGGTTAACCCAACCAGTGACCTGTACGCTCACTTCATCCGAGGAGTTCATGACTCTGCTCTCGCTCGCTTAACAGACACCAGGGAGAAGATGGGGAAATACTATGATCGGAAAAGGGACGAACCGCCTAACTTCAAGGTGGGAGACATGGTTATGCTCAATGCGACCAACATCAAGACTCGTCGCTCTACCAAGAAACTCGATCATAAGAAACTCGGTCCGTTTAAGATTATCCGACTAGCTGGGAAACGAGCCTGCGAACTGGAACTGCCACTACAAGTCAAAATCCATAACGTGTTCCACATTGAACTCTTGGAACGTTACCGACAGTGCAGTATCCCAGGTCGCGAACAACGCCCCCCGACTCCCGAGGAGGTCGATAAGGAAGGAGAGGTGCTGTATGAAGTGGAAAGTATTGTGGGAAGCCGGAAAAGCAGAAGAGGATTAGTGGAATACCTGGTGAAATGGCGGGGCTATTCGATGAGTGACTGTACGTACCAAGTCATGGATGCTATGGATGAGGAGGTACTTGACCTTGTCCGCGACTTCCATCGAAGGAACCCCAAGGCTGTGAAGGATCAACGCCTGAGACTATAGAGGTACCCTACGGGGCTAAATCCTTCCCCTCCACAGACACCACGGGTGATATGTGGAGCAGGTTTACTGGAACCATAGTCTGTCAGAAGATGTCCCGAGAAGTGACACCCTGGAAGGGGGGTAAGCTGTTACGGGCATGCCAAGCATTTACGGGAGTGAGAGAAAGGCTAGTAGATACCCCGATACCCTTTGATGCTAATATCAACTCCGGTTCGCACCCACGAGGTGTGGTGCGATCGATATGCGACCAAATGCGGAGTTGCGGTTTTCCTAGTTAAAAAACACGTTTTCGACCCCAATAATAACCCCCGGAGCGTCAAACCGCCGGAGGGGAGTGTTTTGGTACCGGTGGATATATGAGGGACAGCTGGAATCAATCGGATCGAAGATCGGACCGCTCGGAGCGAATCGGCGCAAGCTGCCAGCCGACCGAGTACCTATCGGCGGTACCTGTGGGCATGAGAGGACTCTGCTATGTGGGAAATCGATGTGGGAAGGGGCCTGAGTAGGTAGCCTTGCCGTCCGAGACCTCCGAATAGCCGCCGCTGACGATTATCCACCAGACGGCCGATGGAGAAGAAACATCGACAGGGAAACGTGCATTAGAGTGGATAAATAGGTTGAGGGGTTTCAGCGGCTTTAGGAGTTTGGGTTATGGACTTAGGAGTTAAATGTTCTTGGTTGTTTTTCAGGGTCTCGGGTAGGCCCCGAGTATATTCGGTATTATTAGTAGACTGGGTCCTCGAGACATAAGCGAGGGATATAAATACTGTGTCATTCACTGACTAGCCAAACCATCATCGGCGAAATCAGAGTCTTAACAATATAAATCGTTGATACGCGAGTTACAACTTTATTTGACTATACTTTCTAAATTACTTTACTCTATCGTGACTTCGAACTCTACCTGAACTATTACGTCGAAGACGGTCGAATCCTATACGCTAACTCTAGTGAATCTTTGTTGATAACGTAGCTCGCGGGGCCCTTATCGGATCAAGGAGATTCCTACTCGACGTTGACTGAAGAGACCTTGGAGACTTCTATCTTTGTAGCTGTTAGCCGAACTCTGAGCTCTGCGTAGTGTACTCTTGC